GGCTGATGCGACGCGCCTCCTTAGCTCCGGCTCGAGGTGTTAAAAGTCCCAAATCGGGCGGTTTTCACCCCAAAAGCCTCGGTCGTTGTCGTCGCCGTGTGTCCCCCCCCACTCCTCCCGTCCCCCCCCGGTTTCCTGCGAGGAAATCACGTCAGCGGCGGCGCTCGCGGTGCCGGGAACGGGTGAAATCACGGCGCGGGGGGGGGTGTGGGGTGCGTGTGTGTGTTTGCACACTCACCGACACGCGTGTGCTTCGCGTGTTCCCTGCTGCACGCATGTGTGCACGCCTGTGCACGCCTCTATGCACGGGCACACGCCCACACACGTGTGTGTTCACCTGTGGCGGTGTCTACACATCCACACGCGTGTGTTCAGCTGTAGTGGTGTGTACACGTCCACACACGTGTGCTCCCTGGGTGTATGTACGCACCCACACGTATGTGCTCACCTGCCACGCGTGTTGGCAGCTGTACGCCCCGTGAACACGCCTGGACACGCGTGCCCATCGTGGCACATGCGTTTATCCACACGTGTGTGCTCACTCGGAACCACATGTGTGCGTGCACACGCACGTGCCCACCTGCACACGAGGGTGCCCACATGTGTGTACTCACCCGCATGCAGGTGCCTGTACTCACGTGTGCTCACCTGTACTCACATGCATGTTGGCACTTGTGTGTCCTCATGAACACGCCTGGGCACGCGTGCCCACCCTGGCACATGCATTCACACACGCGTGTGCCCACCTGCACACGAGGGCACACACTCACCTGCACATGCCTGTACTCACGCCTGCTCACCTCACGCACACGCGTGTTGGCCCATGAGCACGCCTGGGCACGCGTGCCCACCCTGTCACACGCACTGACCCACACGTGTGCCCCCCGGCACCCTCCAACACGCACACACACCCCCCCAAAAACACACGACACGCACATACATGTAGAGCTCCATATCCAGGCGTGCACCTACATGGACACACACACACGCGGGCGCCCTCGCACACGCTCAGAGCACTCGTGTGGCGCGTGCACACGCCTCCACGCGCCCTTGCACACGCGTGTGCACCCCCAGCGCGCCCACACCGGGCGGGACTACAACTCCCAGCATGCCCTGCTTCCGGGTGGCGGGGCTCAGCAAGGAGCGGCGCGGCCGCCCAATGGGAGGAGGGGGGCGTGTCCGCGCCGCCCAATAGGGCGAGGAAGGGGGCGTGGCCTCGCCCTGGGGGTTGGGGGGGGCAGTCACATGGCGCGGCGGCGGCGGCGGGTGAGCGGGAGCGCGATCGGCGGGTCGGTG